CCCCCCCCCCGGCCCCGCCCCGCGCGGGCGCAGTTCCTGGAAAGAGAAAAATGGCGCGCACTGGCGGCCCCTCCCCACTTTTCTGCCCCTCGCTGACCGGGCCCCCTCCTCGCCAGAGAGTGCGGGTCAGAAGTTGGAGCATACCAAGTAGTGACGGCTCGGGGGAAAGCATATGAGGAGGGACATACAAAGTGTATATCCTCTGGGAGAGAAATGACATTAACCCCGTAAGTCCCACCACCTTCGTCTTGGGTGCTAGAAAATAACGGAGAGTTCCACGTGCAGAAAAATTATCCTCCAACAGGCCTCAGGAGGAGGGCTAGCTCCACCCCCACAGGGCCCGTGGCTCCGCCCCTCAGCCGCGGGGCCTCGCCCTCCGCCCTCGCTCATTGGCGGGCCCGGAGGGGCGGGGCAGAGTGCCGGGGGACCGACAAATCCCTCTCACTGAGGGGAGAGAACGCGCCGCCGCAGTAGCGAGGGTCGAGACGCTGCGAAGAGAGCGTCTGTCCCCGGCCCGAGCTTCGGAGGCTTCCAGGCCGAACAGTCTACTGGTTGGTGCTCAGACCCCTGGCGCCGCAGCGGGTCCCACCACGTGTTTTCGGCGGCGACATGGAGCTGGAGGAGTTGGGGATCCGAGAGGAATGTGGCGTGTTCGGGTGCATCGCCTCAGGAGAGTGGCCCACGCAGCTAGACGTGCCGCATGTGATCACTCTGGGACTCGTGGGGCTGCAGCACCGGTGAGCGACTGGGTGAGGGGTGGGGATGGCGGCTCGTGTTCTCCTCCATCTGCCTGATCCGCTTCCTGCGGCCGGAGTTGGCGACCTCGCAGGCGCCTGAGAACCAGGGGCCGGACCGCTCTCTTACCTGGACTGGTACCTTCCTGTGGCATCCACCAGATTGCCAAGGCGTGCGCCGGGGCTCTCTTGTCTCCCTGGACTTCAGCCTGTGCCCCGCCACCCTTAACGGTCTTTTAGGGGCTCTCCGCGCTCCCGTGTAGTGCACCCCTCCTGGATCTGACCAGATTGTAAGGCTCCAGTCGGCTGGACCTGCCCAGTCGGGGTTCTTCCTCCTCTGCTTGCGCGTTTTGATCTCCCAGAGCCTGAAGCTGCTCTTGTGATAAAACTGTGTGTGGGGTGTTTGCTAGTCCTGGACCTACAACACTTTGAGGTTTCGCTTGGAGCCTGCAACCACCACAAGCTTTTGTTTGCAAGAGCAGAGCTATTGGGCAGATGGTGTATTTGAACGAAGTCATAGCTATGGGAACGTAAGGATTCAAACCCGGGGAAGCTGAATCGGTTGCTGGTCAAAAGGAACTACCGGTTCTAGATCTCATGAATTCCAACAGACAATAATCCAATCGCGGAGGAATAGTGCATGTGCAAAAAATTCTTTGGTAAACATTTAAGATAATGAATGAAAAGATTAGTAGTAAGGAAATGCCAAAATAATTCCCTTCTTTAAAAGAGGGAGAGAATAGTTCCTGTATGACAAGATACACATTAACTTTGAAAAACTGATAGATCCTTTGAGTTAAAAAATAACTTTGCTTCTGTGATCTTTCCATTTCCTACTAACTGAATTAAGTTTTAATATAAACAGTTTTCTTAAGGGTAAAAAATAGAAACCTAAGTTTGACATCACTGAAAGTATTAAAAAGTTTCTATAAGAGGATACCTCAGCAACAACTTCTAGAACAGTTAAGGAACTTGGTGATAACACTTATCAGCAATATGGGAGAAATATGTATAAATGCATTCCAAATGATTAGCTTTCCCTCCACCAAATTTAAACTAGAAGTAGGCTTTTTGCATTTTTCAGAATCCAGAATAGTTGGGTTTGAGTTTCACATCTTGTATATTCTTGTTTACTAAACGCTGAGAGTAATTTAGAATTCTAGGATGAATCAAATATTTTTAATTTGAATTAATTTTGGATAATTGTGGGTTGAGCATAATAGAGATCTTATTTTAAAATACATTTATGTTATTGAGAGGATTATATATATAAGCCAAGGAAAAACTAAAAGCTATTCATGTGGTACTCCATAACAACATGAATTTAAAACATTCTTCAGAGAAGTTATTTTGGATATCCTGTCATGGGAAGAGGTGTACAAACACAAGGGATCTTTAGAGTTGCCTGGTGGTCTGTGAGGAAGATATGAAACTGACCTTGAGTTTTTTTTTTAACTATTTACTATTTTAGTTAACTCAGAAAGTTCATCCCCAAGATCTCCTATTTAAATGTGTGTGTAAAGAAAAGGAAGGTGATTTTTTTTATGAATAACTTTATTCCTAATTATATGCACTTCTCTACAATTGCTTCCAAGTGAAAGAATTAATGAGATTAGATAATATTGATACAAGCTAAGGGCAATAAAAATGTGATTATTACATAATGATAGAGAAAACTAAATGGATTCTATCAGGCTGCTTATTTGACAGAGCAAGTATTTGCTAAACTGTGGTGTTGAAAATTGACCTTGTGATACTTTCAGTAACAGCGGCAAAAAACCCAATAGCTTCTGAGAAGAAAGTTATTAGTGGAAAACCATTTAAATTTTCCTTGTGTAGGCATAGGATCTGGAGAAGGCAATGGCACCCCACTCCAGTACTCTTGCCTGGAAAATCCCATGGACGGAGGAGCCTGGTGGGCTGCAGTCCATGGGGTTGCCTGAGTCAGACACACCTGAGCAACTGAACTGAACTGAAAACCTAACTTCCTGTAATCTCTAAATCCTCCTCTCAGGCTCCCGACATGCTCCTCTGTAGGCCCTCAACACTGTTTCCTCCACTTCCATTCCACTACTCATCTCCTTCAGGTCTCACAAGCCATGCTGGTTGAGTTTAGACCTTATCCTGAGAACAACCACAAAGGTTAACCACATCAGTAAAATGGCAGATGTCTGTTACAAAGACCATTATGGCTGCTGTGTGGAGAATGAGATGAGGCAGAGGTGGGTGGAAGAAAACTACCGATGGACAGACCAGTTAGGATGCTGTAGCAGCAAGCCAGGTGACAAATAACCTGGGCTAAAGAAAAAAATGTGGGATAAGTAAGACTCAAGCTATTTAAAAGGTAAAAGTTTTAATAACAATTGATTCAATATGGGCAATAAAAGGGAAAGTTCAAGATGGTGCCTAGGTTAGATAAAGAGAAGTCTGTACTCAATGCTACTCCCTCTCAATTCAGTTGAATCTGCATTTATTTATTTATGTCCATACCACTGTGGCTCGTGGAATCAAGTTTGCCAAACTGCCCCCTGCAATGCAAGCATGGAGTTCTAACCACTGGGCCATTAGGGAATCCCCTGAATCATTATTTATTACCTACTTGCATCTCTATCCATTAATAGAAATAACATAACATCATAGAAGACAATTGCTACCACTGTCAAAATGCTTGCTATAAATTCATAGATGAATTCAAAAGAGGCTGACGAGGACTGAGAATCATTCATGGAATTGAAATTTAAGAGTACTTTAAAGTACAGAACTTCCGTGAAAAGATAAGAACATCTAGGATGGTGCTGTCCAATAAAGGTACCCACTAGCCACAGGTGCCTATGAAACATCTGAAATGTGGCTACTCCAAATTGAGATAATGTAAGTGTAAAATACACAGTGGATTTCAATGTTTTTTTAAAAACTAGCAAAAAATCACAATTTTTATATTGATTATGTGTTGAAATGGTACTACTTGGGATACAGTTTATCAGTAAAAATAGTACAAACTGTCTTTCCTAAGGATCCTAATCACGCATGGACAAAACAATTATATATAAATATGTAACATGATAAATGCACAGTGAAGCAAGAAATTTTTTGCCTGGTGGTTTTGGAACTCTCATTGGCATAAAATGGCTAAAAACAAACAAAATCTCGACAGGAAATAGAAAATTTTTCAGAAGGTTCAGTTATTAACTTTCTGAAACAGGTTATTATTAACCTAAAGGGAAAAGCAAGACTTTGGTTTCGGGAGTCAACATTAGATGTTCCTGCGTTTGTTTGCAATACCTATTGATTGCAAACGCGAATTGCAGGTATCTCTCCAACTTCCGGCCATCTCTCGTTCCAAAGACCCTTTGCGCCTTTTCCTCATTCCATGAGAAGTTCTGGATGTTACAAAAAGTTCGGAGGCCCCGGAGCGCTTTGTTTCCAACGCGCAGCTTGGCAGCGTCAGGGACACGTGCCCGCGCGTCCAGTGGCCTAGAGAGNGGCCATCTCTCGTTCCAAAGACCCTTTGCGCCTTTTCCTCATTCCATGAGAAGTTCTGGATGTTACAAAAAGTTCGGAGGCCCCGGAGCGCTTTGTTTCCAACGCGCCGCTTGGCAGCGTCAGGGACACGTGCCCGCGCGTCCAGTGGCCTAGAGAGGCGCTCGCAGGAAGACGGGGCACAGTCCGGGGAAGGATGCCGTGGGGTGCCAGGGAGAGCGCACAGGCCAGCGTGAGAGAGGCGGGAAGACCGCGGAGTCCCAACTCCTGAGGACGCCAGTTAACTCACCTTCGACTGCCGCCATTGTCCGGAGTGGTCCGGGGTCTTCGGCCGCGCTGGGAAGAGACGCAGAACTCTGGAAAAGAAGCGCGATCAGAAAGGCTCACGGGGCTGGGGAGGGAGGCACCGCCCACAGACACGCCCCTGGCAGGGCCGCGTGACCCACAGCGCCCCCTCCGGGTCTCTTCGAACATCGCCGCGGCCACGGAACATCGGGGGTCCCTAACCTACCCAGAGGAACCTACCCGGGAGCAAGGCTTCCCGCTGCGCAGGCGCAGAGACGCGCCCACCCCCCCCCC